GGGCACAGAAAGAGACTCCACCTGCATGTGTGAGCTGGGCAGCTGGTGGTTTGAGGATTGCTTCACACATCAGATCTCACATCTCCATTTTAGCTTCAAAGAGCACTTCAAAGTAAATGTGTGTAGTAGTGTTTGAACAGTGTGGGCGGCAGGGAGAGACCTGTCCAAGACACCATGTTAGCATGAAGTTTTATTGGTCTAGGGAATCACTGGTGACTTATACGTTTAGCAGCTCTTGTGCTGCTTTTACATTCAGTCACAGTGGGAACCCGACTTATTTACCCAAGCAAGTTGATGTACTGATCATTTCATCTATTCAGATATTAAAATGAATCATTGAACAAATGTGGAATTTAAATATCGATCTATGAGATCAAAAAGTAAACGTAGCCAGTATCCATGTATTCTCCTTGGAAGCCACCTGTTAAGTTTTTCTGGAGTCAACTTTAGTCGGAAAACATTCCAAAAACTGTTAGAAAAGCCTCATCTGTCCATTCAAGGTTCCCCATAAAACATCAAGTCTGCAGTAACCACCAGCATCTGTGATTAGCATTACTGTGATCTGGTATGTCTTAGTGTTTGAGCAGTATACGTTTTAAAATACTTTTTATTTATGATTTCAATAAATGATTTAAACTTACATAAGCAGGTATGTAATTATTCCTGGTTTCAGACTCACTGATAAATGCATGCAACGTGTTCCTTGCAATGATCTACCTCTCAGCAGGTAGATGGTATCTGCTGATAGTGTCACATCAGGGTGGAGAGATGAGCTCACCCACATTCCAGGGGAGCAACACAGAGCTGCAGGCTTAAAGGAGGAGGCAGAGGGTGGGCAGCGCCCTCCACTGGCTGCTCATATAAAATATGGATGTCTGAAGGTTGCTCCAGTTGCTCCACAATTGAAAAAAAGTATATGGGGGAAGATGTTTGGCTACTATAGGTGTTTCTATCAGTTGGATCCTGTTGATATTTTCACATAAAAGAGACCGATGAGGTGAGCATGTGAATCAGATGAGGGGCAGAGTAAGTCTGATTCCAGGGTGCTAAGGCTGGCTACTAGGACACTGAACTTCAGCTCCCTGGTGGAGTCTGGTGACTCCACCAGGGAGCCAGAGATACTGGCTCGATATACAGCTCACCTCAATCCATGGGTGGAATGAGCTCTGTGTAAAAGCGAAGCTGACGATTCACCGGCCAGTCGATGTCTCTGCCCTGACCTTTGCTCACAAGCTCTGAATAATGACTGAAATAACAGAAATGAGTTTTCTCTGAAGGGTAGCTGTGTTTAGCTGTAGAGGTTGGGTGAGAAGTTGAGTCACTCAGGAGGAACTCCCTCCCCCTGGCCATCTCCTCCAGCTGGATGGATGGATGGATGGGGCAACTGTTGGCAGTGTGTTTGAAACTAGTTGCAAGACAACACTTGTGGAGGAGAGCTCAAAAGTGTGAGTAATTCTCCCACGTTTGTGATTAAAAATAGATCCAAGAGGACAGTAAAATGCACATTGTTTTTAGGAGCTTGTGCAAATAACACATATAATATGTGAGCATGGTGAAGGTATCACATGTATAGCTGTTGGTGGAGCTGAAGCATGTTTCCTCTGATGGACATGCAAGAGCTGACACCAGAAGCGTGTTACAAACCACATGTGTTTAAAAGCCTGTAAGAGTCATTTGTCATGCTACCTTTTCCAGTGTGGTTTGAAGCGCTCTCTTTTCACTCACAGCTAAAACACAAACTGTCTGTGTGCACAGAAACTGTTTGTTTACTCCATGACCTTTACATCTTTCAGATTTCTACTCTGTTTTGCTGCAGGCTGACAGCCATTGCTGCCCCTTCCTGTCGCTGTGATACCTGTAGCACGCAAGGATGAGTCCAAACAGGAACCACAGGGTGTAGTCCACGACATTTATTTTTATTATTTTGCACATCATATTAAGTTTCATATAATCTACTAATAAATTGTGCTATAATGTCCTAGCTTAAGCTACCCAGCACTACACACAGTCATGGGATTTATTTTCTCCTCTAGCCAGTACAGTCCTTACCCCATTGGTCCACGACACCCATTTAACCATTGAACTGTGTGACTTCAACAGATTCTTTTTGTTTCTGTCTGTGATAAAAGCCTGCATGTCTAACTCACTGTCAAAAAGAGTGCAGCCACTGAGGGTAGCACAAGCAAAAAGGTCAGAAGTCATCCAGTATGTTATTTCACCCGGTAATTTATTTTTTTAATGAAAATAAGGCTATGGAGAAAAGGTCAAAGGTCACTGAGTTATTCTCTGAAGACTCTCCACAGAGAAGGACACAGTAATCTGGATATTATCTGTGAAATTCAAGTTTTCTCCTCATTTTTTTCCCTCTGTGTGTGTGTGTGTGTGTGTGTGTGTACACTCACAGCTTTAGCAAACACTCCCATAAGTTCAGGGAACTGGTGTGTGAGCAGAGCCAGCATGGCAGTGAAGGAGCAGAGACCAGCTGTGAAGAGGATGAAGAAGGGCAGCTCCTTCTTCGGGTAGACCGACACCTCGTGAAACACTGCTTCCACGCAGGACGGACACACAGAAACACAATATTAGTTCAGAGTACGACATTTACACCTCTCACTCCTCAACACAACCTTCACTGGGGGCTGATTTGTTTGTTTTCAAAATCAACTGTAACACTCTTGTGGTAGACATCCACCAGCATCTTCGAGGATCGCGTCAGCTCTCAGCACTAGATGCTTCATGACTAAGCTACCAAACGCTGCTTATTTTAAGTTTCAAAGGAGCTCATTAAGTGTCCTACGCTTCAACTTTATCCAAGACGTGGCAGCCCTGACACTAAAAATGAAATGTAGCTATATCAGATGTGCACATGTGGTAAAGAACCCTTAAAAGGAGCAGACAGTATGGGCATGTACCAGTCAGACTTACAGTCCTCCCATCACATTACAATCGGTATCACAACTCTCCATGATGTTCTCAACCAAATCATTTTTTCTAAAAGCAAAGGTCATCTTTCTGGCTTTCACTGGGTAACTATCAACACGATGGCAAATTTGAGGGCAGGTATCCTAAAGAAAAACAACGAAGGCAACCTTTTCTGGTGAGGAAGTTTAACAAGGTCAAACATCTGACAAAGTCTAACACATAGCACGCTGTCATGTTTGGCACATTGATTCACAATTTAATTTCTTATTTATGTTCAATTTTAATTAGCTGAAATAAACATGCATGTCTTTTCAGAGACACACACAGACCACTGTGCTGCTTCTCGTGGCTGTAGGCCAGCTCAATCAATGAAGGGTTTGTGAGTGAAGACAGACAAGCTTCTGGGCAGACATCAAGACAACACTCACAATCAACCTCTCACACACACACACACACACACACACACACACACACACACACACACACACACACACACACACACACACACACTCTGTGAGCCAAATTCTCAAATGAAAGTGTAATTTAAAAAAAACAAAACAGCTTTTTCAGCACAGATGTTTGACATGAAGCATTTTTTTCTTCAAAGTTTACAACCTCCCAAAATGAATTAAAGGGATTTAAACACAGAAATTTACAACAAGTTCCCTAAAAAATATATATAATATAACATTTTTTGCCCTGACTGCATTACACAGTGTGCACGTGCATGTCAGAGCGTCTCTTACTGGGTAGCAGCTCTCTGTCTGCCGTCTCTGTACAGATGGGGTAAGGATAGAACAGGTGACCCTTCTCCAGAGGATATGGGATCATTCTGAAAGCTACAAACACACAAAAACACAAACAATTAATAATTAACAACGAGCTCCAGAATCATTCGTGTTCAGAAATAATCACCACTAAAATTTTAATACTGTCAGTTTACAGTATTTGTGTGTTAGCATGTACTTACTGCCCTCCCAGGTGCAGTGCAGAAGGTTGAGTGCCCCCTCCACCCTTTTCCAGTGCTGTAGGTGGAAGAAAGCGTAAGCAATGGCCTCGCTGTCGCCTCTTTTCAGAATGTGTTCTGGAGGAAGAATCAGACTCTTCATCTCAAGCAGGTACTGATGGGAACAAGGAGCAGGAGGAGAGAGGAACAAAGGAAGACAAGGAGTGAGAACAAAGAAGACATCTGAATGAGAAAGAAAATGAATTAAAAGTAGCTCAGCATATCCATGAATAAAGTTCAATACTCACATTCAGCCCACAACAAAGCATGACGCAGAGTTACATTATTACAATTCAATGCACCAAGTGTGAACCCCAAGCTGTTTGACTGGGGCCAGCATACTTTCGGCTCCAACATCATTCTGAGACGGGGGTTGCTACTAGCTTGTGTTTGCACGCCGTTTATAAATGTGCTGTGGGTTTACAGCACTGGATACTCATTTATGACCTGGGATCACTTTACATGCACATTTATTTATTTTTTTACAATAACACAAGGACACATGGTCCACCTCCTTTAAGTGAATGTATAAAAGAAAGCACTGGCAGCAGCAAAGGGATCACAGCACCCACCAGAAGTGCCTCATAGGTGAACTACATTTGGACAGAGAAGATATGCTCAACATATCCCACTTTAAGATTCATCACACCAAGCTTAACTTCTCATTATGTATTGCTTGAATTTGGTTCTTGTGTGTTTTTATGTGAATGTTCTTTCCTTTTTTATGCTGCATGTTGTTTTATGTGACTTACACAGGGGCTACACATGTAAATGAGCAGTTCTGCTAAAAGCTGGCATATTTACATCTTTCTTATCGACACATCTCTGTTTAACACAAACAATCTGTGTGCAAGTGTGTGTGTGGTAATCTCAACTCACTTTGGGGACATGAGGATTGAACTCGACCGCTCTGTGGATGGCTTCTACTGCGTTCATCTCTGCTGTGCTCAGCCCTCTCCTGGATGCGGCCTCTGGAGAGAACCTGCACGTGCACGCAGACGGTCGTGATTCTACATCATGAGGTTACTTTGATCCATACCACTCATGAATAGATATAGTAACAAGCAAGAACCAACATTTTACGAAGTGTTAAAAACAAACTAAATTTAAGCAGCTGCAGCATTTATTATACATGCCACACCCTGAACAATCAGGCAGAAAACTCACTTCTCACAGTAACAGCGCTCAAACCTTGTGGTTTCTCACTCTTTCTACATCATCGCTATTCTCTCATTGATACTGAGCACCTCCCTGGAGCCATTTTCAACCCTATCTTAAACTAAATAGCAGTCCAGGAATGTCAGATCCCTGAAGAACTGTATGTGATGAAAAGCAATACTCACTTGTCCGATACCGCCCTGGCTTTGAGCAAGGCTGCTGTGTAGCATATTGTTGCAGATTTAGGTAAGCTAATATCTGTGGAGGAGACAAAGAGACAGACAGAGACAGAAAGGACAGGGTGGAGTTTATTGAATGTGGTAAAAGTTTGGAATTACAGGTAACAGTTCGAGGGGAGGGCTGTATTTAAGAATACTGCAGATGCCCACAGGGGGTTGTGAATGAACTTAATGAGTTTGGGTTTCACGTGTGTTTTGTTATCATATCTTAGACTTTCTCTAAGTGTGATTTGCTCTCTTTTTCCAGTTGTGTCATATAAATATCTATAGACAGGAGTAAAAAAGTAGTTTCAGAACATGCTGGGCATCCTCAGATAACCCCATGCATACTTCCTGTGTGCGTCTGTGCTCTAACGAAGGCAAAATGTCAGAAAAATGATCTTATAAACAATCACCTGGCCAAATGCCTGCAGATGGTGTAACACCTGCTTTACATAATACATCTTAACAGATGCAATTTTTACTTGCAAATAATAATTACATTTTGGCCTGTATGGATTCGGCCCTGCTGTATAAGATATGTGGTCAGAAATGGCCCCACTCTGGCATTTTAGTTGTTAAAATAGCTCGGGCTGCTTGAGGAACAACAAACACTCGACAGGGAATGTGGTGTCTGTACTCGGCTACCTTCAAGTAACTAAATACAGCTTTGTTAGTACAGTTACTGAGCTGCTCACAGGTGGCCGAGTGTCGCTCACCGTCATACTTGGCCAGAACGGCCTGGACGTCGGCGTAGTTCTGGAGCTCTAGTAGCGACTCCAGCAGGTTTTCGTGGATGTTGAACATACTGAGGAGAGGGAACTCCTTCATTAACTGGAAAACACACAACTGTTGTTACATGTAATACCAGACAGGGGGAGACACATGCACAATCAGCAGACATGAGCTTTGGGTCATTACTGTATTACCTCTAAATACTCTGTGACTGTTTATAATGAACCCATTCAGAAATGAATGCACAACACTGTGTGTTTCGGTTTGTGTGGGGTTTTCTTCTGGCAGGTTGTGTACTTACATCTCTCATCATTTTAACTGCTTCTCTTGTTCGGCCGAGCTTTCTGGAGCACATGGCCAGCCTCCTCTTTATATACACCAACACATTGGTGTCTCTTCCTGCAAAAACAGAACTTAGCTCAATCAGATCACGCTTACCTGCAGTCCTCTTTATTAAAATGCAACAGAGGCTGAGATGGACCAGGACTACCATTCATACTGTCGCTGCAAACTGCCAGTTTAAACATGATTATTACTGGCTTAGGAAAAGCGTTAAAGCATGGATTACACTCACTGTGCTGGGCTTCATATTGTGTACCATGATGTTGGAGCTGTTGGCTGCGGCGGTAGCAGCCCTCTCCAGCTTTTAGCGCCTGTTTAAATAACCGCTCAGCCTCCATGATGGTGGTGGCCTCCTCCTCTGCCAGCAAGATGTACGCCGTTGCACAGCTGTAGATGGGGATGAGAAGAAGTCAGGGAGTAATAACTAACCTGCTGCATAGCCTCTTATACACTCATTAATTCATTTACCGCCTCTCAGCGGGGTTCCTCGTTTGCTGAGAAAGCGCAGCTTCTTTGAGACATAAAAATGCTCCTGAGCCTTGTGTGCTTGTCAGCAGCGTCTGACAGATCACTGATCAAAGAAGTTTTCCTCTGAGTCAACCTGCAGTCACGGCCTTGATACAAGCTGGGAGCAACATGTAGTGCTGACACAGTTCCTCTGCACTGTCTTGGTTGTCACAAATGCTCCTAAAAATAAACCTGAATTTCATGAAAAGAACTAAAGCTGCCTTCCTTTGAATGATGGAAGCACCCAGAAGGCCAGTCTGTGATGAGAAGCTTCAGATCCGCCCTTGACACCAACGAAACCTGCAGTTTACAGTTTTACAATTTATTACAAACTGATGTGTGTGGACCTAAAATCAACAGTAGTGTTTGGGACCTGGGGTCTGATTCATGTTTGTGAGCTAATGTTTTGGTAGAAGTTCATAGTATTAGTTTTGCAAAAGCATATTTGGTTGTACGGCATCTAGATGGGATTATGTAAATACTAAATATTAAAAGATACGATCAGCTCTTAGTTTTGATTTTCAGCTTCCTAACTGGAGTCAGCATAAAGCCATTATCAGTGATTACAAGTTAGAAAAATAAAAAAATAAAAATGTATTTTTACCGACTCTTCATGGTTTGAGCTAGCAGGCCATTGTGTGCACACCAACACTATTGCTACTCATAATCCTTCTACTTCCTCCCTGCAACTTCATCCTCTTCCCCAAACTGAAATCCAAATTAAAGGGTCACAATTCTGGGCGGCGATCCAGAATCCAACACAGATGCTTGACTGAAAGTGGTCACAGTGAAACTTCCAGGGAAAGATGTATAAATAGCAGCCGCGCTGGAAGCATCACCAAGACACTGCTGAAGAGAAGACTGGCCAAACTCAAATCAGATGTAGTACTTATGGTCTGCTCATTTGTTATTAGTTTTTATATAAAGGTTCCTTTGATTTCATCTGGTATGTGCACAACATATGTTTGGAACAACCATCAGAAAAGCACCAGTTAAATACAGCTGGTCAAATTGACCAAACTCAATTTGATGATAAGAGATTTAATTCGGAAAATTCTTTTGACTACATTTCTAGCTCTGACAAATATAGGTAAAATATCAAAAAGCCTTCTGAAGGAATAAAACTGAATTTGTCAAAGTCTTGTCATATGTTCCAAGGATGGCCTGATACATTTCCTCTGTATCTCCAGAGAATACAGAGAACAACAGAGCCCTGCAGTGCTAAAGATACCCTTCCCCTGCTGCTTTGTTGTTAAATTTATGTAATGTCTCTAACTGATTTCTTCTTTGTTGTGGTTGTATTTATTTAACACTGTCCACGGACATAAAATGAATTTCC